TTGTCTACCTCCCTTCTATTCCAAGTCCATCAGTAATATGTTGATAAACCAATGGTGCACAAGTAGAGGCAATTGCTAGTTGTTTTCTTAGTTATATCAACACAAAGGTTGACTGATTCAGCTTTTTTTTCTCAAGCTGAAGTTGACAGTTATCCATAGTTCTGTTCTTGCTGTTCTCATTCGATGTTTCTAGAAAAAAATTCATGGAATGATCGTTGGTGCAAACAGAAACAACTGTTACTAGATTTGTACTTGAAATTTTTGGTACAGAAGTAATACCAACAGTGATAACAATATTCCATGTTTGAAAATCATAATTTTAAGAGATTTGAAATAGACAAACTTTCAAAATGCTGAAAATGTAACGGTGTAACAAAAATTTTGTAGTACTTAAATTTCAATACAGGTACCTAAATATTACAATAATTTTTAAGTTACAAAATAGTACTGAATATTAAAAGTAGATTTCCAGTACTATAGAATTTTGGTACAGAAATAGTACCTTTGCAAAAGTAGCTGTGTACTTCTGTGGACTTTATACGACGTGTTGGCTACAAAAAATTCTGCCAGAACTGATTTATAAAGTTGAAGGACTCATGTCAAGATATTTCTGATTAGTGCTGACTTTTAAACATACGTTCTAATGCATTGTAAAGATGAATTTTAGTTGCATGTTATAAATGATGACCTATATTATCTTATTTTTTCCGGAATCGTTACTATTTTCCAGGAAAAGTAAAGTATTTATTTCCGGAAACGTAATCTTTTTTTCCAGGAAAAATAATGCCAATTTCCGGAAACGTAAAACGCCGAGGTGAACAAATCTCCATATCTCCCTCGGGCAAGGGAAACAAATGTATAATATTCAATGTTGGTTCTGATTGGTTGACATCTGATATTCTGGACACCTAATTGCACCCAAAAACGCCTCGAAATATCACAATATTGCTGAAAGTTGCATACACAACCATCTATCAATTTTAACTTAGTTCATTTTATACTGCTTCGAATGATAAACTGATCTTTCAAACCTTTCAAAAAATAATTAACTTTACAATGTACTAATTATACATTTAATCTTCAGTTAATGATCAGTAAGATTATTAGTTATCTACATTCATATCCATATGTACAGATAGGAACGTAGATAACAAATTCATCCCCGTTCTTAGTCCAAATCTAGCGTTTTTTTGAAAAATTTGACCACAAAGTGTAAAATGAAAGCAACATTTTTTCATTATTTAAATAAAGGGGAATGTGTCCATGGGACACAGATGATGCCCTGCTTGCATATTATATCAAGTTGGAATGGGACTTAACTGAAGAACGTTAAAAGTGACGCTACCCAAATTTGTACTTTATCTGAGTTTTGTGGTAAAAAGTATTTAGTATAAGTTTCATAACATTTGGTTGAGGCAAACTTAAGTTACAGAACTGAAAGTAAAAAAATCAGCAATTCTTCTATTTGTAAAGGGGCATAACTCTCGGTCTTCATGCTTAACCACAAGTCCTACGGCCCAGACTATTTACATTCTTCTCTACATGCAAACAGTATTCAACTAAAATTTTCAAAAAATTGAGCTTCAGACTTGTGGTCTCAAAAGTTTATCGTGCAGGCTGAACTCTAGAACAGTAAAAGTGACACCACCGAAATTCAAACTTGATCTGTATTTTGTAGTAATAAGCATTGAGTATAAGTTTCATAACATTAGGTTGAGGCTAACTTTAGTTAGAGAACCTAAACAAATAAACAGCTGTACCATGAGCACATGATACGCCCGTCACGTTTTCAAAGAATAACGTTTAATAATTTTTCAATGTCATATCAGAAATTTTGGAAAATCTAAAAGGAGGTTATCTAAATAGATACAGACCAGTCGCCACAGTTTAATGAAAAGTGCTCAAAACACTTTTAAGGTATTGTCAGAAAACTGGAAAATCACCTCTTTTTTATGAATAAAATCCCATTACTCGTAAATGTTAAATCCAAAATCTATAAATATCAAAAGGGAGCTTATGTCAATAGATATAAATAATTCACTAAAGTTTCATGAGAACTGCTGAAAGCATTTTGAATTATTATCTGAAAACTGGAAAATCCCCCTTTTTTAAAGAATAGAAGCCAATAACTTAGAAACATAAAATCTAAAATTAATAAGCTCATGTCAATTGATATAAACGACTCACCAAAGTTTCTTGCAAATTGGTGAAAGTGTTTTTTAGTTATTGTCCGAAAACTGGGAAATCCCCATTTTTTAATGAATAAAACCCTATAAATCAGAAGTGTAAAATCTAAAATTTATGAAAAACGAAAGGGAGCTCACGTCAAAGTTATAGACAATTCACCGAAGTTTTATGAAAATTGGTGAAAGCTTTCTTTAGTGAATGTCTGACATGTTGACGACGGACAGACAGATGGACGGAAAACGGTATACCATAATATGTCCCTTAAACAGGGTAAAAAAATTCAACAATTCTTCCATTTGAAAGGAGCATAACTCTAGAACAGTAACAGTGACACCACCAAAATTCAAATTTGATCTGTATTTTGTAGTAATAAACAATGTGTATAAGTTTCATAACATTTAGTTGAGCATAACAAGTTTTAATGCTACTTTTTAGATAATGATAATAGTGATCACGGCTTGGGGTCCAGTTCCACATCAATAATTCCAGGAAAAATATGTTTTACTTACCGAGTTCATACAGTTAAAAGATTCCATATTGTTTTCGTGTCACAAGTATGTCTCTTTTTGACAGGTATTTAGAACCTTTTCTTTTGCCATCACTGCATCAGGTTCACAGCAGGTACTGCTCGGCCCGACCTCTTCTTTTAATGGTCTACATATTGGTAATGTTCCCATTGCCCTGGATACCATGCACAGAGTGCAACTTTTCCTTTCTTCATTTTGCTTGAGTAATTGTTGGGAATGTGTTAAACATTACGATAAATTCAGACATTTTCAACAGTCTTATTTAAGGTTAAACCTCGAGCGGTAAACAAAACATATTATATTAGTACTTTGGAATACATTTTGTCATGGTCTCACATATGGAATTGTTTTCTGTAGTCATACAAAAACGTTTATGTCTTCTTGTCTGAAGAGTAATTCAGGGGAAGCTACTCCTGCTACACAGGGGTAACTAAAAGGGGCTTTTAATTGAGATTTAAGAATTCAGCAGTTGTTATATTTAATTTGAGAACATTTATTGTTTTTGGGAGCAGAATTAACTATTTTCAGACATATAAAGCATTTGTGTTAATTTCAATATTCTATTTGTAACAATATTAAAAACGGTAATTTCGAAAAACCGTGGTTTTGAAAAATTGAATTATGCAAAATTTTCAAATATACCCCTCTCAATTTTTTGTATTTTGATTTATCAATGGTTAAACTATTTAAAAATTACTTTAACCATATCGGGAAAATCTAGGTTGAAAATTCTCAAATCTTTCAAAACAGGGTAGAATGGGACTCCCAGTACACAAGGAATTTGACCCTTTATAGGGCTAGGTTCTTGACATAACTGCTAAATAATATATTTTTTTAAATGCATTTTTTAAATATGTCATAACCGTACTTAGTCATAACAACAAACACAATTTTCTTTTTTATTCTCTAGACGACCATATACATCTAACTGTAATTGCACATTTTTAGCCTTTTTCTTTACCAAAATTGACTAAAAAGTGTTCAAGCAGTTACCATAGCAACCGCAAAATTTTAAGTGAAACTTGATGTATATTTCAGTATATCTCAATTGTTAGAACATTTTTACAAATTTTGAACAAATTCTGTGACATGTCATTTCCACATGATTTTGATGCTTACAGAGAATGACTCTTAAGTATCTCATATTCAGAATTTTGTTATTTACGATTATGATATAAGAGACCATAAATTGAATTTCTGAACCAGACATGTACTATGTATACTTATATATTTGACGGCATTTATACTTAAGTGGTTTTATTAAATGGAGAAGTAAAACATCACTGCTGCTGTCGTATCAAATTTTATTACCAAAACTACCGAAGAAAAAAAAAGGGGGTTAAAGTCCAATAAAATTGACAAAATCAAAAGCTCTAATATATCAAACAACGGATCGAATGAAAACCAAAAGGCTGTCATATTCCTTCCTTTGGACAGGCTTTTTTTCTGAAGAAAATTGGGAGTAAAACCTGGTTTCATGAATTCAAACTAGCATACAAATCTGATTTATAAAGTTTGTAAGTGTCTACAGTTTTCCTTAAAAGGCATTAGCTGTCAAATTCATGTTCACTTATTTGAGTTCAATTCTCATTTTTGATTTATAGCATACTTAAACGTATATCCAAATTGCAATAAGTAAAAAAATTAACAATCAACAATGTATGGACCCAATAATATATATCGTTATTTCATGTGTATTTTAGTCTTTACTCCATCTAAGTTAACAATCGAGATGCTTTCAAAGACTGCCGACGGCCATATAACCCGATATATACATAAGCAGAAATGTAAATAGATATGTTTATGTTATAGGTTTTAAAAAACTAATGATTTTTTGGGGGGCATCGAATCAGTCAGCGAAATTGTTCGCCATTGTTTGACTTTCAATGTTAACATTTTTCTTCTTTTAATAGATTACAACGCCTAGAACATACGTCACCTATCTCTAGCTAAGTGGTTAGATTGAAGTTCACATGAATACGGATTCACATGAGGTTAAATTATTTACTTACAAGTAAATATTATATCATCGATGTTTTGGTCCTCTTTTGACAGACTTCGGTCAACCTAACTGCTTATAATGAGATGTTAATAAAAGACAAACAGACAAACAGACAAACAGACAAACAACAACACACGAAACACAACATAGATTCCGTCTTTATCAATGTCCCTTGAAACAAATAATTCATATTTAAAATGTTTGTCTAAATCGTAGCTATTGTCCCTTTAAACAGTATGTCATATAAACTATTCTGACAAAGAACAAATTAAGTAAGAGATAAATGAAGGGGTACAATGTAAACAAAATTTAAACAAAACTTTTAAAACCCATAAGTTATTCTGTAATTTTAAGGATTTGATTGAATGCAAATATTACACATGGATATTTAACGTTAAAGCAAAAATATAAAACATCTTCCATATTTTCTCTCACAAACTAAAGGTATGTGTAATTCACAATGACCATTTGTATTCTGTGAATAAAATTAGTACTTACACAATTTAAACATAGCAGATGAAACAATAGTTTGCCCTTGGTTGACATTACACTACATAGTTAGCAACAATGTTATAAATTGATTATCACATTTGACATTATCTTACAGATAACACAATGTGGTTGATATTCTTACTGATAATCACGCAACAATCACAATTATTAAAGGAAGTAAACTGATAAGATGTTTTATGAATCATATTATACTCTATGTTTCAAAGCTTATTTTCCGTTTGCATTTATATATTCATTTTAAAGATGTGTTTCATTCTGATCAAACACGTTTTAGGATACAAGTTAAACATGCAATAGTATCGTTGTTTAACTAAGAACATAAATTTATTTAAATATTACAACTGCTCTGATATATTTGCATTACCACAGGCATCTACATTGAATGATAATTTTGCTCAAACTTGTGAAAATTTTAAAACATATACACTTTATACAGCATTTATACAACATAAATCGTTATGACTAACACGTCATGGATCCTGATTTCGTGTTTTATCAACAATAGCATAAGCTTATTCTGGTTTCGCATCGTCCTGTATTTTTGCAGATGAATTTTGAATCGAACTTTGTAGCCCTTTGTCAACGACAGCATACACAACACTACATTTGTTAGGTGGACTGAGATTCTTCGTTTCATTGCTGGAGTTTGAAGTTTTATTATTAATCATAGCCTCGTTGTCGTGAAATGTTTGTAATGCTTGTAAAGACCTGGTTTCTGCATGGGTCCCCACAGTGTTGTAGTGATTATCGATTTCAGAATGCGTTGCTGCCATTTGTTGCCTTTCTAAATTAACTGTGGAATAATTAATGTCATAGTCGTCTTGATGTGTTGCTGATACATATAATACATTGTCTGTCAATCCATCATATTGTGAATACTGATTTTCTTGATTTGAATCTGATACAGTGTTCCTTTGTAATTCGCCCAGTCTCTTACTTGATCTTCTACTGAACCAAATTGAAATGAAAAATAGATTACTCATACTGAAGTCTCTATTATTTCCCTTACAAATAGTCTATACTCGAGGCGATTTAGAACACATTTTGTAGGTACCTATCTAATGTTAAAATCTGAATGATGAAATATATATATTCACGGTCTTTTGTCTCGTGTGGTCTATCTACATATCCAGTTATTCTTACGTTTTTAACTTAAAAAAAAAACACCGACGGGATTCAATTTTTCTGCAGAGCTTTAAAATTGTGTCTCTCCTACGATAAGAATAGACAACACAAGACTTTGCAAATATAATTTCAAAACAGACAGGGTGCGCCTATATACACATAATAAATACCTGGAGCGGTAATTGATACCAAAGAAGTGTACGGATATCCTGTTTTTCATGTTTTGGTTATCGCATATCAATGCATTTAACGGTTAATGTGTTACATATTTTCGCATTTGTACTGTTTTAGCATTTTCTGAAGCAGTAATGTCTTACCTTCTGGTGAAAAGTACAGTAATAATGACAATGGTAATCATGACAAGAACCCCAACACATATTCCAATAGCAATAAACAGTGTGCTGTCATCTGAAAAGACACATTATATAGACGGAAATGTATGGTCTTTGTTCGCTTTACACATACCATATCATATAAGAACAAATTCGCCTGTTTCGTGTGCGAGATATAGGGCTGATAAAAACATTAAAACGAAACATGTATACGCAGTTATTACTATGAAGATTTGCACGTACATTTAAATAAAAGCTCTACTCTTGAATGTAATGTTGATTTTGTCTAACCAATAGGGAAAATTTGCCACCAAGAGTATATAGACCATCAGATCTTTTATTCGTACAATTTAGTAATCTTCGAAATCAGAAGTCAGGCCAATTATCTTTGTCTTTTTTTCACTCTCATGGTTGAAATTTAAAAGTTGCTCTAAACCTATTAATATTTATAGAGTCTATATAAAATTTCATACAAACTTACAACAATTTATATATTTGCGATTGATTCAAAAAAAGGTTAAGACATTATTTCTAATTCCACATGTTTTTGTAAAATGCTGCATCGGGAAATGTCTGTTAAATGAAATAACTTGTCTTCGAAGGTCAATGTATATTTCTACTTTTGCACTGTACGTTTTTGAAAACACTTTTACATCTCAAATTCATATTTTTTTAAAACAATTTATAGAAAAAATGCAATGGATTTTAGAAAATAGCATTAATGTGAAATACAAATGTAGTATCAGGGGGAATAGGCCCTATATGTTTGTTACAAAATTCAACCTTTAACAAAAGAATGGCAAAACAGTTTTTGTAGAGAAAGGTTGAATTATTTTTTGCCATTATTGTTTTACAGAAAACAAGATATAAATTCAGAAGAAAATGCAAAAAAAAAACATTGCTCAACAGTTCACAAAGAAATAAAAATAATTATTTCAAGCAAAAATGTCAAGTATATTTTACCGTTTGTTTCTGGCTTGGTTTCAGTGGGATTTACTGATGACGATTCATGCTGGAAAACTTCAGACTCGTTGCAGACAATCTTCAGTTTTTGAGGTACGAAATTGCTTAGTTTATCTATTAATGATAATAAAACTTAAGGAATATGTTACTTGGCGATTTGAAAATAAAACCATTTAAGATACCAGTTCCTAAAATTAATACAACAAATACCTAAGCAAATGCTAGCTTAGATGTGTGCTAGATGGTATAAATCGGCCATATTAAAATATATAGTTTTAAAAAATGTGTTTAAAAGCAATTTCTATATTGCATATGAACATATATAATCTGTTGTTATCTGTTTGATACCTTTATCAAACAAAAGTAAATAAAAAAGACTTTGGTGTGTATTAAGTTATATTTTTTATAGATTTTCTCCAATATGCGGTCAAATATTGGTTGTTGTTTTTTTACCGTCTATTGGTATGATTGGCACCTTATTTGTCATTCATGATGAATTAAAATGTATCTTATAAAATTGTACTGTTGAGTTATTAGTATGTGTTTTTATTATCTCATTTCCGATACTTGCATCGCTCTTCGTGGTATTTTAATGATCAAATAACACTCAAACCAGCGCAAGTCATTCAGATTGGATTTAAGCAGTTATCACTAATTTTTCAATTTCAATGTCATATTGACTTGAAAAAGTCTTTCAGTTGTTTGAAAGAATCCAAAGTTAACAAATCATAACTTCAAACCATTAGCATATTTCAGGTTAATAAATAATAAACATGTTTTTTATGTCGACTTTTCTGATGATGATACATTTGTGAAATAGTTCCAAATGAAGATTCTACAATAATACATTTCTTGTGTAAATTTTAGACATGTGTTCTTAATTGAATTTTTTTTAATTTTCAATTCAATGGTATGCACATTTGTTAATAGTAAGATTTTCACTGCACGTTGAAGACAGCCCACGTATCGGTTGGAGGAGTATTCTTTGCAAAATTTATATGTGTTGCCTTATCTTTCAAACCTTCATCAACAAGAATAACACAAACCTCGAATAATATGCATACAATATCCTCTTATAAAATTGCCATGTATTTTCCTCGATGTAAATCTAAGTACATCGTTATTCTCAATAGAAAATGGGCGCCTATCAACTCCACTAGTACAATTAATTGTATCTAATACAGACGCATCGTTCAAGTTTTCAATATCTATTGCAAGTCCACATAAACTGTTTTCCGGTGCTGCTGCTGACATACGTTTGTACTTTTCTATAAATATTCCTGTTTTTTCTATATAATTTTCTAGAAATATATCGCAAGTACACCCTCCACGATCGACCATCGCTCGTAGTACCACACTGTCGAGATATTCAGCGCCGTTTCCTTTTTTTTTCTTTTGCAAAAGAAGACATACACATATCGGCTACTGAAATGTGAATATGCTATTAAACATAAATAATTTTACATTACTGAATGAAAAATAGTGGAATTACAACTTATGGCAGGGAACAGTAACAACAAATAGAGTTCCATTCATTTCAATGTTCTATAAAACCTGTAAAAAAAATTCTAATCAAGTACGCTATTGCAAAACAATATATAAAATGAGAGCCATTCTATACAGAATTATGAGGTACTATTGAAATTTGTATAGATATAAGAAGATGTGGTATGAGTGCTAATGCGATACCTCTCCATCCAAGTCGTAAATCATCAAAGGTCGCCAAAACGGAGCCTTGGCTCATACCAAACAACAAGCTATAATATAATAATAAACATGTGAAACATACAAGGATTTACACCACAAGACACATTCTATTGCAAAAAAACTGCTCGAACAACAAACTCTGCAGTAGACAATAGGAAAAATGAATTATGTACTTTATTTGTGACATTACTTACCGGCAATTTTCGTTTGGATTGATCGAAATCACAGAAATGAATGAATAATACAATTGTCTAATACGACTAACAAGCATTTGACCTTGCTTAAACATTTACAACACACTCCTTAGGGATATGGACGGGTACATGTAACACTAAGATTTGGAATGGAATGAATAGATGTACCTACATGTAGTAGCCGATCTTCTAAAATTCTTTTAAATTTCTTCATGGCTTTTTATTATCAGGGTACTGAATATGACCTGTGTTTGGATATTATCAAAACCAGTCGAAAACGCAAATAGGCGTACATTAATGTGTGTTTTAGCACATTGGGAGTAATTATGACTGTTTAAATGCAAAAAAAAATATTAAGGTAATTAATGGTAATATCTATAAAATCCGGGCCGAACAACTATTGTTTACTAATCTATAAAATCACAAATTTGTATTTGAATATCGTTTGAAAATTACAAATAACGTAAATAACTTGGTCATCAGACATTTGACAAAAGTAGAAAATCCTTTGCAAAATAGGCATATTGTTTTATTGTTATCCTTCTACTGTCTCTATTAAGCTTGTGTTTGTTCGTGAATACAGTAACTGCATTCATGCTTACTAGTATACTGACAGTCGAATAGACATGTACAATACACATGGTTTCTTCCATAAGACTACAAAAAGTAAAATAACAAAACTACCGAACTCCGAGGTAAAAATGGTAAATTCAAAATTGAAAGTCCGTAGTCAAATGTCAAAACCAAAAGCTCAAACACATCAAACAAAATGATAACAACTGTCATATTCCTGACTTGGTACAGACATTTTCTTGTTTTATAGCTAGCTTAACCTTTCGCTTGTATGACAGTCGTATACAATTCCGTTATACTGACAACGATGTTTGAACAAAACAAACATATATAATAGGAAAAAATGTTAAAAAAAAGGGGACAGCAGTCAACATTGTGTACTAATCTTAAATAATATTAAAACAAAGAAATATGTAACAAAAAAACACAAAAAGGCATATAGACAAAGAACATTAGCAAAAATAAAAGACAAGAATATAAAAATTTACTACAACACAAAGTTCCCATCAACCATGACAATCCCAACAGAGTTATTTATTGGCATTTGCCTATAATCGGATTGGTATTCAAATCATATCTTCAAATTCAATAGAAGTATAAAGTACATACCTGGGCTGTCCAATCTTACAGGGCAAGGGTTCGGTATTTTATCATTCAAACCTAAAACAAATAACAAAAATGTACATAAAAGTAATTTCTATCAAATGAAATCACAATCTTTGTCTCGGGTACTGTGCTTGCCTCGAGTGCGAAATGTCGTGGTTAAGATCTACCGCCGAATTAAAGTAAATACTTTTAAATCCATTGGGTGTTTTCGACGCTTAGCATTCGAAATAAGAGACTAAAATCAAAGACGCGTCTGTCGTGTACATATCAATGTTTATAACAACAGTGTATAGCGGGCCGACAGGAAATATTTATTTACTGCTTCTGGTAATTATCAAATGCTTTTCCATGGCTCTTGTGTGTATATCATGACATGGGGACGATAAAGGGTCTAATATGAAAAATGTAATGAAATTATTTATGCTTATGTCACAATAAAGATTTAAAGGGAAAGGTGAAATATATCAAAGGGAAATTCAAACTCAAAGTCGAAAATACCTTAACAGCTAAAATGAAAAAGACAAACAGACCTTTCTATGTTGTGATTTTACACTATTGTTTTAGGTAAGGGTGAAGGTTGGTACCTATTCAAACGTTTAAACCCGTTGCATTTGTTTGCACCTGTCCTAAGTAAGGAACCTGGTGTTCAGTGGTTGTCGTTTGTTGATGTTGTTCATAAATGGTTCTAGTTCTCGTTTTTATATAGATTAGACCGTTGGTTTTTCCGTTTGAATAGTTTCACACAAATCATTTTTGGGGCCCTGTATAGCTTGCTGTTCGGTATGACCCAAGGCTCCTTGTTGAAGACCGTTCTTTGACCTATAAAGGTCTACTTTTACAAATTGTGACTTGGATGGAGAGTTGTCTCATTGGCACTCATACCACATAAAACACAACATAGACAACTAGTCTGAGCAACACGTTCTCCATCAAAAAATGGGGGGGATCTCATGTACTCCATAAGGATGAGCAGATTCTGCTCCACAAGTGGCACATTTCCTCATGTTAGTACAAACCCGGAAATAAGTCTAATTCGGTAAGTAACATTAAGGATTCTTTTGGAATTTTACTAGTTTAAATACCAGGGTTCTTTTCATTTGGTAGGGATGTACAAGTACGCATCCACGTCCAATTTTTTAACCTTAGCCCAAATTTACTATTATTTTTTCTTTTCATTATAAAACTGCTATTTATTTGGGATGATAAATACGCAGCCTCTGTTTGACATATTTTACCAGCTTATATCGATCAGTGCTGTATTTTTTTTGGAAATGTATTTACACGCAGTTGTTGTAACATCTAAACTGACGTCATTTTGGAATTTTAGAGTTGTGCCAGTTCATATCTCTAATTACTATTTTCATTTTAGGCATGTCTTTGAGTCGTTTTTTGGAAATTTTAAAAATTTATTAGCGTCTCTACATATGATGTTCGGGTGAAACTGTTTCACTTTTTTTTATTGTATAGAATTCAAGATTTAATAATCAGAATAGATTGATCTGATTCATTTTACATCGTGCTCATACTGATGAAGGATATCTGTTATCCGAAATATTTATAGTTACATTTGTTCGTTTATTGTCATTTTTTGGTGATGTTGTACCCTTTTAGACTGGTTATATATTATATTTTGTAGTGTACTGTATCATATTTATATGATCCATCGCCCCGTAAGATTTATCGTTGGCTATTATTCAGTCATTTTATATATATATGTGTGTTATATGATTTAATACCTGTATACAAAAAAGTTTGAATTGAAAAAAGTAAAAATCACAAAAATACTGAACTCCGAGGAAAATTCAAAAAGGAAAGTCCCCAATCAAATGGCAAAATAAAAAAAAACACATCAAACGAATGGATAACAACTGTCATATTCCTGACTTGGTACAGGCATTTTCTTATGAAGAAAATGGTGGATTGAACCTGGTTTAATAGCTAGCTAAACCTCTCACTTGTATGAGAGTCGCATCAAATTCCATTATATTGACAACGATGCGTGAACAAAACAA